ATTTTGCAATATAGGAGACACTAAGGTTGCTTCATAACCAAGTTTCTATGGAAAGAATCCTAGATGTATCACTAATTTTTTTCTAATGAAAATATCCTGAATCCCATGGAAATGTAAACCAAGGCTGAAGCATGTGGGAAATGTATACTTAAGTGTCTAAAGCTATAGTTATCCAACATAACACATGACAGAAGCTTAGAAAATACCCAATAAAAATGTTTGTCCAAATAGATAACCGTGCAGTATTACCTTAACCAACTGATGAGGAAAGAAACAGAGTTCAAATCCACTACCCACTTACTCTGATTTTAGTTCCTCATCAACAATAACAATGAAAAGTCTTAAAAAACAATAATTCAATTAGAAGACTCAGATATGAAAAGTGATCACGGTTGGTGCTCCAAAATTTAAATGCATATTTTAACTTAGATATTCTATAAAAGTATGGAACACTAAGACTCAACAAAATTTATGAAATGTCATTTTATAACCCATTACTCTTAAAGTGACTATCCAACCACCTTATGTTTTATCTTTTCTTTTGCAAAGATTCAGCAATTTCTTTAGCTACATTCGAACATTCTAGATTTGAAGTTTACACACAATGCATCTATTTATTTATTTATTTGGCCGTGCCATGTAGCATGCAGGATCTCGTTCCCCGACCAGGGATCGAACCTGTGCCCCCGGCATTAGGAGCGCAGAGTCTTAACCACTGGACTGCCCGGGAAGTCACTACACACAATGCATTTAAAGCAGAATGTATGTTCTGTCAAGTTAGCAACCTGCATATTAAGCTCTCAGCCTTTGCTGTAAGACACGTATCACATGCACATTTCCTATAACTCATGCATAATACGTGTACATCACATGCATATTTTTTCCCATACATCTCTTGGCCCATACATTCACGTGCACATGCATGCAGAGAAACAAAGGCACAAATGATCAGATCTGATGTTCTTCTCCTGCTCACTGAATTACCATAGAGAAATTACACCTACTGTGTTCCTGGTTTAGCTAGCTGAGGTTATAAAAGGTAAGTAATGATTTATAGAATATCTTGATATGTGTGTCATGCCTTCCAACTAGACTGTGTCTTACTCCTATATTCTTCTCAGTTCCTGAGATTGTGAGGTGTTAGGCACATGCTGGAATATAAAGTGTCCAAATTCATGGGCTCTGCCACACCGCATCTGGGTTTCTATCCTAACCCTAAGAGTTACCAACTGGGAGAACAAGGACTTAGGCCTTGAGCTTCAGCTTCTTCATTAGCAAAATGTGTTGAGATACCAACCGTACTTAGTGGCTGCAAGGCACCTCAGCTGGAGAGATGTCCCCCTAGACTGTTAATGAATACTTGCTCATTAATTGATAAACTCATCTCAGAAAAGGTCTGGACTTACTGCCAACCATTACTTTTACAGACTTGCCTGTTTTACAGTTATATAGACAGGTGTTTGAGACTATAAGAAATTTAAATAGAAATAGGAAAGCTTTTTAGTCCATTTTGCTAATTAATATGTCAGAGCTCATAAAGAAGGACTCATCATGGGCTTTCTTCAGTACTGCATCATCTTAAAGAGCTGGGTCAGCAAAGATCTCTGTAGACAGTCAATACATATTAAAACCATTCTAAGCAATAAATCAAAACAAAAAAATATGAAGGCACATTTTAAAAAAGTAAAATTTATTAGCCCTTTCTGTCTGAATGCTGAGGAGCATTAAACTATTGGTTTAAGTGTCAGTTCAGTACATAGGGAAAAAAAAGGACTCCTTCTCGGACATACTTTATGAGTCTGTGTATAGCTAAAATTAAAGCATAATGTAAAAAAAAAAAAAAAAGGCTATGACAAATCTGATGCCATTTTTCTCTGGATTCTAATGTTTCCTCAGAATATTTGTCATTTAAAAAAATGGTTTTATTGTTTAAAATATACATTTTGCTGAAGTTATTTCCCCTGTGCATTGCTAGGATTTGAGTCTTGTCAGAATTCAATTAGTGAGATAGTTAGGGAAAAAGGTGAAAGACAGCTTTTTGGTTTTTCAAGGCTCTCTGAAACTTATGATTTTTTTTTTTAAAAGGAGCCAAACAAAAAGCATTTTGCTCCTAACTTCTCTATGGTAGGTCTCACCATCCCATAAACATTAATACCTCTTATATGTGGAAGAGGACCCCATAAGATTATAAACAGGAGTACCAGCCTGCCATTTTCCTTGCCAAGGTATGAGATGCAATGCACTGCCAGGCATAGCCCCTGAGGCAGATTATTAGAGAAATCTCAAAAATACTGGATTGATTCCAGAAGAGGTGAGGGAATACTACATATTGGGCCAAAAATGTTAGAAAGATTTATCTTACCTAAGACTTTGATCTGATCTGAGCTCTGAGGAATCAACCATTTAAAGAATAAGCCAAGGAAACGGTGCCGAAAATATTGTCACAAATTTGGGAAGCACCCAAGCCAGACCAACAGATGGAACTTGGCATGAAATGGCTCTCTACACACTAAGTAGCTGACTCAGAAGAAATTTTAACTCAGATGAATTTATTAAAATGTTGAATATCATCCTAAATAAGAGGATGGATGATAGATTTAGGTCAGCACATAAAATTTAATTTAACTTCCTGATGGTCTTGGATGGTGGGAAAGAGGCCCACATTTCGATAATTAAAAAGAGACAGAGGGAGATATTCTTTCTTCATCACTTTTTCACCTGAACTTTCTGGAGAAAGGATTTGGGGAAGAGAAAGGTGAAACAAAAAGAAGCTGACATTGGCGAGGTAAGTATGAATGATCAGGGCACGTTGCACATTACAATCCAAACTGGCACTTGCTTAGTGGTCTGGACGGTAGAAGATGGAGACTATAGTTCTATATTAGGTGAATGTTAAAAATGACTGAAACAGGTTGCCAGAATCAAAAGGACCCTTAATTCTCTTTCACTGTCGTCACCACCAAAGCCTAATGGGAAAATGCTCTACCCAGGTGGAGCTCACACAAGGAGTTGCACTTCATAGGAGGGATGCGTTCTTGAGGAGCATTATAACTCAGGACCTTAATAGCATCTTTTTCTCTCATGCTGCTTTTTATTTTCTCAGTACTGTCTCTAACGTTTTATAGAGTGCTCTCATTTGTCTAGAGCTCACAATTTGAGGTGACTGGTTAGCCCTCTTCACTGTGTTTTATCGTATGCCACTTTGGCTCCAAAGTTATCAACTTTCTGGTTGTTTTCAGCGTTTGCCCCGGTTCCACAGAGAGCCAATGAAACATTTGATGATGTTGTGATAGAATATAAAACTACTTAAAATATAAGAATAGTGAATATTGTAATAATAATTCATTAGTAACAAAAATCTTATTTAAAACAGCTGATGTATTTCAACAGTTTGATTCATGGGATATGAAGACCATTAGTATTATTTCTATTACCAGCTAAAATAACTCTGCCATGTGAACCTTAGTCAACCTGACTGACAGCTTTAAAATTATGCCATTTTTAACATTTTTCTTTTAATTTGGAAGATTATTTCAATTTTTACGTTTAGAGTACTTCTTTCCTAATATCTTTATTTCACACTACATAGAAATATATCATTAAATTTTACCTAAAATACTATAGCAATATACCAAGATAATGTTTGCCTTTAAAAAGAGTGACAATAATTTTTACTTACTGGCTAACAGTAATTTGTTCGGAAATGAAGTAAGATTAGAGTAAGATTTGATTTCCTGGAAAAAGCCAGAAAGTTTATTATTTGTTTTCAAAAACCAAATTGATACACATTCTTAAAAAAATGCTTCTACTTCTTACCTTGAAGCCCATCCCAGTATGTAAATAGGTTTTTATTAATATGTGTAAGAGAGCTAAGGACAAGAAGTACCAGGCATGGGAACAAGCAGCATGTGGCAATTTATCACTCCCTCAGAAATCTTTTCTTTCCCAGTGATCTAACCTCTTAGGCTCTTTATTAGGAGGGGCAGAAAAGAAAACATCTAAGAGTTGTGAACTAGACCTTCCCTGCTGTTATCACTAGTGAATCTGGAGAAAGAAGAAAAGGAAAAAAAATCATAATCTTGTCCTGGAACATGATGGAAGTAATGAGGCATCAAGGCCACTTACTGCGGAGAACATAACTGGCCCATAAACACAGGAGATGCTTGGTGATGGGAATGACTTCTTTGTTTCAGAAACGAAGGGATGCCAACAAATCATAACCCTCCTGTTGTTTGGAGTGGCATTTCTAAGAGTAAAATGGATAGTTTCCCCCCAAATAATGCACCCTTACAAGAAAAGGATTACTGCTGTATTTACTAGCTTAGAAGCTTTAAGTGTTTTCAACTAATGTGAATAAATGATGCTGAAGAAAGAGCAAAGGAATAGAAGGTAGGTCATTTGGCAATGAAGGAAAAGCTTGGATTTTAGACCTGAAGGTATCTCACACAAAGCAGACAAAGAGCCTGGAGACCCTCAGAGTCCTTGTGGACTTCCTAGGGCACCTCCAGGGAGCTCATTCATGAGTCTAAAGAAAGAGAATACAGTCCTCTCAGGTCCAATCCCCTGTGATGACAGGCAAAAAAATGATTCTTTTTTGAGAAGGAAGAAATGGCCACGTTTTTCTTATTCTGGAATTCTTTGTCCTGCCACTTTAATGTGGGAGTCATCATGGAAAAGAATTTCAAACTTTCTTGGGTTTTCTTTGTAATTTTTTGTTATTCTAAGTGTTCAGCTGGCATACAGGTTAAAGATTTGGGGTTTATAATTATTTTTTTGGAAACCTTTCTTCCTCCTTCTCAAACATTTCAGTCAGCATACATTGTGCCACTATACACACGGCCAAGCAATAATTCACCTTTGTGGAAGTCAGAGACATCTCATGTATTAATTAGCAAGTCTTTAAGTGATGAGTGGATGGAAACAGGTTCCATCTGCTACTCAAACACAGCCAGAGATTTCCAGGAAGGAGAATATAAAGTCAGTTACAAGGAATTTCTTACCCGATTTGTGTCCAGCCAATGAATGGACTTTGCTTTCATCTGGCACTGCAAAGAAATTAAAGAGACAAGGATCACACCTGCTTGTAAATCAGCCATTTTTTGAACAATAAATTAATATAGATTTGTAATAAGTAAAATCTTTTACTGGCAAAGATTTGAGAAAACATTTTCCCCAGACTGCCTGGGGCACCTCAATTCTATTAATTTAAAGATAGTTATGAAGAAATATATGTACATTAAACCTTCTGTGAATAGAATTTCATTCTTTTAAAAATTTCTAGGGCTTCCCTGGTGGCGCAGTGGTTGGGAGTCCGCCTGCCGATGCAGGGGACACGGGTTCGTGCCCTGGTCCGGGAGGATCCCGCGTGCCGCGGAGCGGCTGGGCCCGTGAGCCATGGCCGCTGAGCCCTTGGGTCATTCTCTAACATCTAAAAGCCAGGTCCAGTGTGTGATTTGCACACTTGCACCTGCCCAATAGTTACAGGGCCTCCAAGTTAAAAAAAAAAAAAAAAAATTCTAATACTTTCAGTTCTTTTAACTGGGGTGTTGTTTCTGTATCCACAAAAACAGAAAAACTCAAGAATCTAGAGCTGTATGATATATAATAAAACTCTTTGAGCATGACAGCAATATATCTAATCCCCAAGGATCAGACTTCTATATCTGGACAAAATGGAGCAAAAGGGAACAAACTTACAATTCCTCCTGAAAAAAAATTTCTAAAAGAGACAAAACACGAAATAATGGCATTCAAGAGATTAGACATCAGGCGACAGAGGACAGTGACCCTTGAGAGGTGGAAAACAGGTGGGGTGACTCCTGCCATTGCTCCAGCTTACTGTCTAGAGAAAGTTTCCAGGTTGTGGTGAAGGAAGGAGAACACGGGCAGAGCCCAGGGCTATTCCAGCCTGAGGACATGAAGCTGGAGGCCCAGGGAAACCAAGGCAGACAGAGTTTAGGTCAGAGAATTGGAGAGAAGAGAGGAATACAGAAATCTTTCTGAGATCTGCAAAGTATCCCCTCAGGTATTTAATTAATTGCTGATGATCACATGCATGTGAGGAAACTACCCAAGACCTGGGACAGAACCACCCCAAAGGGGAAAGAGCACAGTGTCCAAAGTTTACACAAGGTGGGGAATAAAGTTCCTATTCCCATTACCCAGAGTGAAAAACTTCAAAATTCAGGGGCATCCATTAGAATAGGAAGAAGAATCTTGCTTCGGCAGTGGATAAAATTTTAGATGAACACAGCTCTGATGAAATGGATATGATTTTGAAAGCCACAAATTACCAAAGCTTATTTAGGAAGAAAGAGATAATCTAACACCCCTATAGTTTGTTTTCTAATCGAGTTGTATTGAAAGTTAAAAACTTTCCCAGAAAGAAAACTCTAGATCCAGCTGATTTCCTGATGAATTCTACCAAACATTTAAGGAAGAAATAATACCAGTTGTACAGAAATTCTCTCAGAAAATTTAGAGGAGGGAATATTTCCCCACTCGTTCTATGAGGCTACCATTACCTTGATGTTAATACCAAGCAAAGACGTTATATGAAAGCTACTAACCAATATCTCTCATGAACAAAGAGGCCAAGTTCTAAATCCTTAAGCAACTCTGCATGGATTATCACTTCAATATTCAACAACAGCTGTTCAATATTCACCATATGTCATTGTCTACATTAGTCTATAAAACTCTGGTGGCTCAAGGGTGGAAGCAAGGTGAGGGGAACTCTGCCAACAAGGAGGACCTCTTCCTTTTTCCCAAATATGAGATTGGTCTCAGCGTAATAAGCTCCTCCTTCCTTTACCTACAACATTCAGTCATATTTCATTGACCCAGTTATTATACAAAAGTCTTCCTAAATCTTCCCACACCCACCTAGCACTCCTTTCCTAAGCTATTTCTTTATTTTCTAGACAAGAGCACTACATGTTTATGATTTTCCTGGTATTAACTGCTTAAAAATCTAGTTGGACTTTTCTTCGTGTTTCCAGTTGGAGATGTCAATCCGTATGTATCAGGCTCCAATTGTGGGCTAAATTCTGTCTTTCCCAGGTCTGAAAAAATATACAGTGGAATCTACAGAACAAATGAAAAAATACTGGAAAACAATGATGGTGACTAAAAAAATAATACTAGAAGCTAATACTTGTAATATATGTTATACCCTATATACTCTTTATAGCTATTAATTCATTTAATGCTCACTGTAACCTGTAAAGATAGCTATTATTATCTTTACAGATAAACTGCAGCACATCTTGTAAGCGGAGGAGCCAGAGCTTAAACATGGCACTTTTAATCACTCTACTATACTTGTGATGAATCATAGAAGAGTTGTTATATTTTTCAGATTATTGGTAACATGAATTAAATGTAAGAAAACACTTGACAAACACCCGTATGTTAGAACACTATTACCCTTTTAATTTGAATATATGTTATTAATAGAAATCTTTCTATGTTGACCAATATGAACAAGCGTTAGCTATAAATTTGTTTAACATGTTCAGAAATCTACAGTTCTAATAGGTTCAAGCTGAAATAATTCATCTCCATTACACAGATAAGAAATCATCTGTCTGAGTTAAAATCTTGACTTAGATACTTACTGGTTACCTGCAATTTACTTTAACTTTCTGTGCCTCAATCTCATCATATATAAAATGAGGTTGATATCGCTTTCCCCGTAGGTTTAGAGTGAAGATTATTTGTGTAAGTTTATGCAAAATACTTAGAAGATCACATAGTAAGTACTTAATAAATATTAGTTATTAGATCATTAATGATAAACTAAATAGAGTTAATTTACATTAGATGTTACAGAATAACATGATAGCTAATAATAGGACAGATGTGGACTGAATTCAAGATTTATCAGGCAAGTTACTAAGCTCCTTTAAACCTTAGTTTCCCCATGTGAAAAATGAGATAAAAACACTGTGCAAGGAGTTGTGAGAACTGAATGAAATAAATTTTAAAAAGCACTTAGCACAGTTCCAGGTACCTGTTTCTCAATAAATGAAGACTTTTGATAAATGGAAACTGAGAGTGGTAAAGGTTGTAAATTTAATGATGGCGGTGGTGCTTATGATTTAACTTGCCTAGGATTATAAAGGAATAGGCAGGGCACAAGGTACTTTCAATTGCTATCTCATGGATAATCCAATACCCACAGCAGGATTTACCTCCTGGTTTACATGGCTCCCAGTTCATCTTGTGGTGGAAGAAAGGCAAAGGAAATACGGTATTCAGACTACATACATGATTTTATTTTGTGCAGTTATTCTGAAAAAGGAATTCACACAAGGGTAGGATCTTATTTTTTTTGTCTTTTTTTTTTTTTTTTTTTTAAAGACATAAGTTATACCATTAAATCTAAGGCAATTTAAGTACTACAAATTCCCTTGCCATGTTAGGTTGAACATGGTAACAACTTTTTGGCTGAATACTATCTACTATTTTTAGTAGGAATACTAATTATTTTAATTGACAATTTGAAATTCTTTAGAACACTACCAAACTATTACAATAAACAGTGTAGAACATCCAAATGGGTGATGGGCATAAAAATTAGGGGTCTTTCTCCAAAATATTCACTGACACAGATGTCTATCTTGAGGACAGGAGATAAATGAATAAACATCATAGAAAATAGAGGGAACTGTAATGACTTAATTAATAGAATACATTTTACTTAAAAGGTTAAATTGGGAACAATCATCTTTTATGCACATGCTTAGTGCTGGGAAGTGATTTAAATAACAGTAGCAAGTGAGAAAATGAGGTAAAATTATACACACCACCAAGCTTTTTTAAAAAATGACAAGTGTTATAATTAATACTCAACTTCTTTTATAAGTCACATTACCTTAAAGCTACTATAAAGTTTCCTCTCAGGGCTGGAGCTTAAGTCTAGTCATTTCCTGCATATTATTTAGATAGCACAGCAGTTGGAACAGTAGCAATATTAATATGATAGCTATGTCATTTTAAACAAAGAGCTTATTTACAAGAGGTTGAAAATGAGTGAGCCTGGTGTGGGGAAGGTCTACCACTCCAAAATGGTAAGTAAGGGACCGAAAGTGTCAAGTAAGAGAGTGTTGATGGAGCAGGAACCAAAATTTCTTGCTCTGGTTCTAATGACAGATTGTTTTCTCTTCCTTTCTTTCTTCTCCCCACCTCTCCCTCCCTCTCCCCTTCCCTCCCCCCTCCCTTCCTTCCCTCTTCCCTTCCCTACCTACCTACCTTCCTTCCTTCCTTCCAGTTTCTAGAGCATATTATATTCCTTTTCTTATCCTTCAGTTTCCAAGGATTGGTACTATTTGCTCTTGATTACTTTAAAGAGTTATTATAGTAATTGAAGAGGTATTAGGGAAATGTTGAGTCCTTCTGAAGATGAAATTCACAGACATTTTTTATTACATTCTTAGAGGGCACTGCGGACTTGTCCCTCCTGAGATTTCTCTGGATTTATTTAGATAATGGGATTTCTATTAAGCTCCTGCTTCCTGGCATTCAACTCAAGATCAATGGACACTATTTGATTTAATTACTGTAAGGTTTTTCATACGGAGGACACTCTTTGGTTTGGATGTTGGTTAATTTCCTGGTGCGTCCTCTGGTTCAGGAAGACTTGCTCAGGAAACACAGCACCCTGTGAGCCTATGTTTACAGTTATTTTGGTTGTAGACCTTTGAAGCTAATCAAAGGTCTACGAACTACCCAACACCAGTGGAACCTTTTTAAAAGGTGTGGATAAACACACAGTGTCTTTTGGCTTAATTTCAACCAGGTTCATTGTTAGAGTTGAGAGAAGCCATAAAGAAAGAAAATATGGGAAGAAAATCTGTGAAAAATATGGTACTCTGAGAACTTATTAGTGGCAGACATTAAAGTGCATATACTACTCACATATATTGGCTTCCTGGTAGGATATATTTATATTAATATAGTGATCACATAAAGTGTTTTATTCTTTTGTCAAGCCTTCTTATACTCTTCCAATGCATTCTCACTGGGGGAAAATAATCCCCTT